ATATGTTACGACAGCGGAAGTCATGTGATGCTGCTGGCACTGGTTGTATGCGTGATGAGTTTCTCGAATGATCAGGGAAGTCGGAGTTTGTTTGAGATGCCCTCTTTGTTAGTATATAAGACTGGCAGAGAAAGCCAGTAGAAATAATGAATGAAGAGAGAGCAGTAGTTACTTTGAGTTCCGTGTAATTTATGATTCTGTTAGTTTCGAGCTAGTGAGCCATAAAGTGTGTGTTTTGCACTCATTGAGAGCTAAGTTATTGAGATTGTGAATCGTTGTGATTTATAGTGTGTATTATAAAGTTGTTAAGTTTAAAGTGAAGAGAAATGTACTGATTGTGGAACTACTGTGTAGTAAAAGTTGTATAGAGGAAGAATAAACTGGTTTAATCAAGAAAGGAGTTGTATCCCTGAAAATCCTCCATAAGAATTTCTACCGGAAACAAACAAACAAGCAGATACATAACAAATTGGTGTCAGAGTGGGATGGAAAAGAAAAAAACCAAGAAAAGAGATTACAGCAGTTGTTGGAAGAAAAAGAAACTAGAAGAACAAGAAGAGAGACTACAGCAGTTGTTGGAGGAGAAAGAAAAGAAACAAGAAGAGATTCTACAGCAGTGGTTGGAGGAGAAAGAAAATAAACAAGAAGAAAGTCTCCAACAGTTGCAGGAAGAACAAGGAGAGAGAGTACAAAATCAGCATGAAGTACAAATGGAAAAGATTAGTAAATTTCAAAATGAATCAAATACATTAAAAGACGATTTACTGTCTTTTACACAGAGAGGATATATTAGTCATGAACGTAATCAGCCTCAGACAACAGGAAGCCCTTCCAGACCCAGCAGCTAAACCCTAATGCAGACATCTTCAGTCCTGCCAGAAGTCACATTCCAGACACGAGTGTCAGCAATAAGGGGGATTTAGTACGAAGGAAGCTACAGGAATTCGATGGGAAGGCATCATGGGAAGCATATAAAGCACAATTTGAGCTCCTGGCAGAAATGAATGGATGGACAGAGGAGCAGAAAGCAATGTACCTGGCAACGAACCTGAAGGGATAACCACTGGAAATACTTGGACAGTTGTCAACAGATGACAGGCACAAGTATAGAGCACTGGTAACTGCTCTGGAAATCAGGTATGGAACTCAAAATCAGTCCAAAGTCTACAGGGCTAGTTTTTGGACTAGAGTCCATGCTAAAGGGGAGAACCTGCAAGAGCTGGCACAGGATTTGGAAAGTATGGCACACAAGGCCTACCCAACTGCACCACCCAATGTCCTCAAGCTGTTGCTGAGGGATCAGTTTGTAGATGACTTGGACAATCCACAACTGAAGATACAAGTGAAATAAGCACACCCCTCTACTATGCAGGATGCAATGGCCAGAGCTCTTGAATTTGAATCCTACTGCGGAAGTAGGAAGTAACGTGTCACTGCTGGGTTTCTCGATTGATCAGGGAGCACAGACCTTGGGGAGCACAGAATAAACACAGGCAATTACAATCCAATAACAATCCCTCAGAGGAGAATAGCTCCAGCAAAGTGACAAAAGATGCAGAAGGTCATGGATGGCCTAATTAAAGAAGGGATAGTCGAGAAATCAGATAGTCACTGGTCAGCTCCTGTCGAGTTAGTCCAGAAGAAGGATGGGACCCAACGTTGCTGTGTGGACTTCAGGGCTCTTAACAGTATAACCGAAAAGGACTCATACCCACTGCCAAGAATTGATGATACTGTTGATGCCCTAAGTGGAGCCAGTGGTTTTCAACTCTGGACTTAAAGTCGGGTTTCCACCAAGTGAAAATGGCTGAAGCAGATGAACCTAAGACTGCATTTAGTTATGGCCAAGGTCTCTGGTAAGACTGTGTGATACCATTCGGACTTAGTAATGCTCCAGCAACATTTGAGAGACTGATGGAAAGAGTACTGGAAGGCCTACAATGGAGGATAGCCCTAGTGTACCTGTATGATGTCATTGTGTTTGCAGCAACATTTGATGAGGAAGTATCCCAGCTAAAGGAAGTATTCAAGCGTTTGAAAGCAGCAAACCTCAAACTCCATCCCAAGAAATTCCATTTGTTCCAGAAAGAGGTGCTTTACTTGGGTCACATTGTAAGTGATTCTGACAAGGTGAAAGTAGTACATGATTGGCCAATGCCAGACAATGTGGGAGAGTTAAGAAGTTTCTTGGGACTCTGTACCTATTACTGGAAGTTTGTGAAGGACTTTGCAACTATAGCTGCTCCACTACATGATTTGATAAAAATAGGCCATAAGTTTGAATGGACAGTTTCTTATCAGCATGCTTTCAAGACATTGAAAGAAAAATTGGCCTCAGCTCCACTTTGAAAGCTTCTAAATCCCTCACTGCCATACATACTGGATTATGATACTAGTAATGTTGGAATTGGAAGAGTGTTGTCTCAGAAAGTGGGTGAAAACGAACATGTGGTGGCCTACTTCAGTATGGTCCTGAGTAGACCAGAGAGGAACTACTGTGTAACACGGAAGGAACTCCTTGCTATAGTAAAGAGTCTAACATATTTCCATCCTTACCTCAATGGTGCCAGGTTTACCATCAGGACATACCATGCTGTATTATGCTGGTTAAGATCATTAAAGAACACAGAGGGACAAGTGGCATGTTGGATCGGAAAGTTAAACCAGTATAATTATGATATCGAATACAGAGAAGGGAAATCTCTTGGAAATACCGACAGACTGAGTCAAAGACCCTGCAAAATGACTGCAGACATTGCTGCAAAAGAGAGGTTGAACTAACCAGGTG